TATTATTTTAAGGGTTATTATAAATTATTGCAGGTGTTTTTAATATTATATTATCATGATATTTTCATTCTGTAACATCATCAAACAAAACCAGAAGATCAATGGATTGTTCCATATCATGCACCAACTTTATTATTATGGGAAGGATACTGTAATATTCAATATATAACTGACAAAAATTTTGCAAAATATTTTTGCAAATATGTTACCAAACCTGAACCAAATGACTTATTTGAAATTAATAAATTGATGCTTTTAAAAGACATGTCCATGCACAAAGAATGGGAACAATGGAATTAACTATGCTAATTTTAGGAAAACCAGTCTCAAGAAGTTCGATTGCAGTTATTTTTTTACCATCAACATCTCCTTCAAATAGACGTCATTCAATTCGTTCTGCATATTAGCTAATACAAAATTTTGAAATAGATCCTTATTATGATGATGCTATTGAAAAATACTTTAATTGACCCTATGAACTAATATTTCAAAACATTATATATCCAATATATCATCGTAAATTTTAATCAATTTCAACTATACCTACCTCAGGTTTATATTGGTTAGATCAACAAAATAATATTATTGTATCTCATAAAAAAGAAATTCTTGTAAGATTTCAATATTTAACAATAAAAGATGCTGAAGATTATTTTTATCAACAACTTTTATTACAAATTATACCTGCCACCCAAATTCAAAATCCAAATGCCGAAATCCCAAATGCCAAAATCCCAAATCCCAAATCCCAAATTATGATTAGTATTTTTTGCCGAAATCCCAAATCCCAAATCCCAAATCCCAAATGATTTGGGATTTGGGCAACACGTATATTACAAATACCTATTTGGAATGATGAACAATTAATAAGTAAATACACAAATTACAAATCAAGATTTCAAGTAGAATTTCCATACATATATCAAACAATAACTACAATAATTCAACATACTTCAGAAATGCACATATTACAATATTCTCAAAATTATCAAAATCTAATAAATAATTTAACAGTTGCTTTATATGACAATTTAAAAACAATTATTGAAAATCAATTATTAAATTTAATTAAACTTATAAAAACTATTTCATTATTTTCAACCTTACTTATTTCAGAAGATCAATATGAAATTTATAATATAATTACAAAATGTTGGGGACCATCATATCCAAATAATCAACATCCATTCTTTTTCTTAACTGGTTCAGCAGGTACAGGAAAATCAAAAAAAAAAAAAAAACTCTTTCCGACGATCATTTTGCCAGAATTTTCAAGGAAGAGAAAATATAAAAAACACTACAAACAAAT